CCTCACACAGCAGACCCCACTTCACCTCCCCAACCCCCGGCCAACGTGTGATAGCTACCGTTTCTTCTTGGAGATCTGAGGCATGATGATATTGGCATTCAGAATGATGCTATTGAACGTCTCTTATGCCACACAAAGCTTTTGCAAATAATTACTATGTGTTATGCATTTGAAATTCCTCGCTCAAAATTAAATTACTTGGCTTATGCTATTGAGTCTTTCATATGTAATTTCAACCAACTATATCCTGGTAAAATAGTATCAAAATTTCATAGTTTAATTCACATTCCTGCCCAAATCTTAGAATTTGGGCCGCCTAGGCAGCAATTTTGTTTGAGATTTGAAGCTTGTCATTCCTGGTTCAAAGGGCTGATGCGTGCAATTAGAAATGTTAAAAATCTCCCTTGGACTTTTGCGTACCGTCATGAATGTCTGAGATGCTCTGAATTGTCTTCTGGGCCTGGTGCACCTTCAACGGCATTTCTTTACTCTGGCCATTCCATCAAGGAAGGTAACTCAAAGAAGGTTTCAGATCTAGAATTTAGCAACATTTTATTTGAAATGTTACCTTTTGCAAACAGGGAAACTTGTGAGGTAATTGTGACCCCAGAAGTCACCGTTCATGGAACTTCTTTTCAACCGGGTTCAATAATTTTAGTTTCATGCGAGGAAGATGATCTCCCAATGTTTGCTTCAGTCAAAAATATTTATGTTTACAACAACATCATTCTTTTGCTCTACAAACCACTAGAAACGTTGGGGTATTTTGGCAAGCTTAATGCATACCAAGTTGCATTTAATAAAAACTTGGCAGAGGGAGTAGTTAGTGTTGAAAATTTATTGCTCCCTTCATCACTCTCCATCTTTACATTGAAAAGGCTTAAGTACATTGTGTTGTTGAACTACTTTCGGACTGAGTTCATAGATTAGAGTGTGGTCTAAAGCCAGGAAGAACTGAATTTTTATTTTGTCACGTTAATATTGCCTGAACCATTGTCTTAGTTTCTTTATATGACTTATGTTTAGCAAAATTTCAAGGTTCATTAAAGTGTTTCACGAATAATTTTGTTTCCTCTTGTTTCCTTTCCCCCCGCTTATTTTTCTTTATTTTTCGAATGTTACCATACGAAACACATTTAAGATCTATCAGTCATCTTTGCTAGTGTGTAATAACACATCATTTTCAAATTGATGTGTCACTTTGACACGCCCAAACCGTGTTGTTTGCATCCGTGTCACAGCCAACACGACAACACCCGTGTAGGTTCAACCCGTGTTAAAATGACACAGTTCCACGTGTGTCTGAAACGCACCGTGTTCAGATGACACACTTGGGCTGATTTTGCACGCTTAAAATGTGTTCCTACACAGATCGTAACACACCTCTGTTTGCAGTGTACAAGCTATTTTGGCGACCCTCGGAAAAAGGACTTGTTTTCGCCAAAAGCGGTGTTACTGAGTGCTGTTATTCCATCTTCTTAACTGTAGGGACGGACGATGAACGTACGGGTGGCGTATTACATCAATTCGCTTCTCCTCTTTCATCCTCGTCCCCAAAGTAGTTTCTGCGTGTCGACTGAGTTTCCCTAAAGTGCATCTGGACCTTATGCACTGCTGCGCCTGTGACTGTGACAGCGTCGACTCAAATTTTGCAGAAGTGCTGCAAAACAATGTTATTTCCGTTGGCTAGCTGCAATGATTTGCGATTATACTGAGTGTGAAAAGAAATCATAGCTTTCTGAGATTTCATCATTTGTAACATATTCATTAAGAAAGGGATAAAGGTTTTATTTACACATTTTGTGGGCAGTAATGATACTATTATCATGTTTCATAATATTGGTTGTAGAGATTCAGAACCAAATGTGAATTTTCAAAACCTATTGATTCTGAGAATTAATAAACTAGTTCTTACATTTCATAAACCACTTCTGAATGTTACATTTTGGATATGAAATTAAAGATCCATTGTTCTACAATTAACTTCAAATCCAGATTATGAAATTTAAGAAGCATTTTTTTAAAGAGTGACTGGATTAAATGTCAATTTTGCGAATCTCAGCCTACTGTGCCAAGCTGCCCGAGCGCCTGTGCAGCAGGCAAGAACAGGCCACGCGCGCGCGACTCCCGTGGCGGAAGAACACACCGACCGGCAGTACACCTTCAGTTGCTCGTCGAGACTTGTTGCGGCAGGGAGGCGTTAGGCCTGCGTTTGCCGGTTGCGATTGCGACATTGCCGGTACTGAATTCCAATAAAAAAAGGTTTCGTACGGTTTGTTTTTAGGTTGATTTTATGTTTTTAATTATATTATTCTAAAGAAATGAACATCGTGGGCAGTGCAGTCAAAAACCTACTCACTGTTCAAAAATTCAAAAATTCAGACAACTTTTGATAGACTTTATGTTTTGAATCTATATCTTAGCCTTGATTCAGACTGTTTGTCAGAAAAATTAGTACATTGAGGTAAAATTGCGACCTGACTGTCTTTTAACGTTAATTCAGCCCCAAGCATTCTGAAAGTTAAAACGATTGAGACAAAAAATTCAGACCAACCAAAAATTTTGTTTGTCCGCTAGATGGCGCAGATGTCGTAAAATTGGCCTCCTTCTGTTTTAAAGGCCTTTGCCGCGAAAATTCCCCAATATGAAATCAGCAAAAATGGGAAACATCCTCTGTTGCAATATTTGTGTCTGTAATAGGGTTGTGAGTTGAACAATTGACATTTTAAGTTACCATTCGCGGATGGTTCCGTGTCGCCATTTCCACTGGTTTTTCGACCGGCCCATCGACCGGCCTTTCGACACCCAGGGAGGCGAACTCAGGGGGATCATTTCTCTCAATACAGTTTTTACTTTATGTTTTACTTTGCGTTAGACTCCTTACATGTAGATAGTTCCAATTTTTCATGTCATATGTCACAGATGTAAATGTTTGCAATCAGCATATAAGTCTGAATTTATAGACCACAAAATCTTAAATGTAAGACTCTCCCGTTCCGAAATTTGAGACCACTAAATTGGCCTTTATTTTCAGGCCACAAGTCTGTTAGTAATATATAACATTGTTGTGTCTGAATTTTCAAACATTTATTAAAAACAGTGTTCTTAGCTCATATAGCTGCATACAGTACTTGACACAATCAGAATTTTTTCAATTCTTCGTTTATCCAATCTCGCAGAAATGGTACATTGGTGTAAACTCCAGGGCGGTCCTTTATTCCACACCCAATGCCCCAGGACACCAGCCCGACCACAGCGTAGCGGGATCCTGATTCATTCGTTGGGCAAACCAAAGGAGAACCACCATCTCCCTGGAAAGAAACAAGTCAGAAAAATATGTAATTGACTGCATCACAAGGGGTTTGCTCGTAAATCCACCTCCTGTGCACAGTGGTTTAAAATGCGATTTTCGGGGGAATAAGTCCCGGCAGGCGTCCCGTGCGACCAAATGCTACCAGAATTGAACTGAATCATCTGTAGGCAATGGGCAAAGACCACCTAAAAGGAAAAGGTGCTCCAATAAAAGTAGGATTTATAATGCTAAAATAATGAGAAAAATAACAAAATTAGAAGAAAAATGACAGAATTGACAAAAAGTGCAAAATTAAAAAATGCTCAAAATTCTGAGTATTAACTTCTTAACCGCATGAAATCATTTTTTTTACGAAGACAAACAGAATATTTAAAAAGAAAAACAATCGCACTATTGTTTTTTTTTTTCATTTTGAATGGTGCACACCAGAAGCGATTCACCCCAAAACTTATCAATTTGGCACGTTTTTGTGGTGTTGGTCGCCTTGCGTTTCGTGTTGCAGTCGTATGCGGAATAGTTATCGCCAGGACATGTAAATACACATGTAAGGGAAGCGCCTCGCACCAATAACTTAGCTACATACGCACACATAGATGACCAAAACTCAAAAAGTTTGTTTTTAAAAGGTTTTGAACGCATTTACAGCAAAAACCGTAACCGTGGGCCCAAGCGCTAACGGAATGTTGTGCTTATATGCTGCTTTTCTACTTTTTTTTCTTGGGTCTAGGACAGCTCGTCCCGACCGACTCGTACCCGGCACAATACGTCCCGGGGTTATCCCGTCCCAACCCAAGTGGTCCCCGTCCTAAATCGTCCCAATAATTATATATTTCACTCTAAAAAAAGTTATGAAATTTCATATTCAAATAGGTCTTAAATTTCATAATCACGTTCTAAACCTCTATTTTCATAACATTCTTATAAAATTTAAGATCCTGTAATGAATTTTAAGATTTGGGCTATGGATTTTAAGAATAACTGGTTATAATTTTTTAGAACAGGGTAACTTATAACTCCGGTTCTTAAAATCTAGATTTTCGCTTTGAGAATTGCCAATTTTAGAGTAGGGGATCTGAAAATTTTAATCCTTTGCGTTCTGCTGCCAAGTCCCTTGTCTGTGTTTATGGATACTGTGAAGTGAAAAAAGCATGCAACAGAAACATTTGTCACAGGAAGTTCTTTTTGTGGTCAAAATCCAACCTCTGTTAGATGAATTTACTCTCAAAGTTGGGGGCTCCAACTCCCATTAGATTATGAGCTATGGAGGTTTACGTAAACTTTGAGTCGTTTCCCTCAAAATTTCCCTTACGACAAAGAAAAAAGTACGCAAACCTCAGATTCTGGCATTCAACATTCAAAGACATAAGAAAAAGAATGCGTTGGTGCATTTGAATACATATATCAGTCCAGAAGAGGCTGTAAACGGTATTTTACTAGGCCCCTTGAAATTTGAGAGATTTTGCCTCATTTTTGTCATGTATTCGGTTTTACAAGAAAACTAAGCGAGATATTAAACAAAGCCAACAGCATCTTTTTTTCAATGCAAAAATAAACATAATTGCCAGAATCTGAAGGATGGGTAGCTTTTACTTTGTCGTGAGGAGAATTTGAGAGAAATTACTAAAAGTTAACGTAAACATTTATAACTCAGAAACTATTCTGAGGTAGGGCCCTATTCCCAGTGTATGAGTTTATGCAACAGTAAGAAACTTTTACCCAAAAATTGAGACATCTGACACAAGTATTTTTAAAATGTTACATAGTCACTTTTTTCACTATACAATAACCTTAAATCAATTGGTAAAGTTCTCTTTTTTCGGCAAGGGTTCACATTTTTCAAACCGATTAGATAGGAATCCTGATGGCCGCAAATACAAATCGATAAGCTTACATTGTATGCACAAATTGAAGCATGCCCGGCAAGCATGCACTTACTAGTGCATACATGCCATTTACCCGCTTACTACATCTAGTGCATAAGAGACAGGGAGTTGTCTGTAAGTGCATGCTTGGCGGGCATGCGCTAACCAGAGCGTGCTTGCAGGCATGCTTCAGTTAGTTCAAACAGTGTATACACGCCGGGCCGTGCCGGGCCGAGCCGAGCCGCCCCGTCGGTGGCCAGCCGAGCCGGGCAGGGTGAGCCGAGCCGGCGCTCGGGCGCTGCTTTCCCGGAAAATCACCGCTCGCCGGCCGGCCGAGGCTACCTGCACCGGCCGAAGGGTCGCGAAATCCCTCGGCCACTCCGGATTGGAGAGGCTGCGTCATTTTTAGTGTGTCTGTGTCTCCAGAGCTGTGCACATCACGTCCGGGTCCGAGAGCTAGTCAGTCGCGCCATCAATTTAGTTTCGCTGGACCGTTTAGTGTTATTTCGGCGCAGTGCGTATAGTGCAGTTGAAGTGTTGCCCGTGGTGCCCAACAGTCACCACTCGTGTTTCAAGAGTTTGAAGCTAGATTGGCGATCTCCGGAAACATGACTTGTTTTCGTTACAAGCGGCGTAACTGAATGCTGATATTCCATCTTTTAAACTGCAGGGACGGGCGATGAACGTGTGGGTGGCGTATTATTTCGATAGAGCATTCTAGTCGTCGCCGATCGAAGAACATAAAGAAGAACAAAACCAGAAGCCGGGAAGAAACGGAGTAGGTATCAAGCCCAGTTTCAACGAGAAATGTCGACAAATATTTTTATTTCCTGAGTCAGAAAGTGTTTGAAACAAACGAAAGTGCTTTTGAAAGAGATTCGTCACAGAAAACTCAGAAACTAGCCCACTCAGAGAAGTCTGGGAGGTTATGTTGCCGGGGCCAGTTCCGGCTTTGTTCTTCTTCTTGTTCTTCGATCGGCGACGACTAGAATACTCTATTCGCCTCTCCTCTCTCATCTTTGTTCCTAAAGTATTTTTCTTATCGATCGAGTTTCCACAAAGTGTTCATCTAAACCTAACACGCTGCTGCGCTGTTTACCACGTCGACTGAAGTTAATTGCTCTCATGTATAACTGTGATGTTCCTTGTGCGTAGCTCTCGGAGAAAAGTGAAACTCCGCTTTAGTAGCGCGAAATGGCGCGCTACGATGCATAAGTGCTGCAAGATATTGAGTGTGAAAAGAAATGAAACCTGTCCGAGATTTCAGTATTTGTAACATAAAAGTTCAGAACGGGATATGTTTCATAGCATTGGTTGTGGAGATTAAGAACCGGATATAAGTTTTCATAACACATTGCTTCTGAAAATAAATAATAGAGTTCTTACGTTTCATAAAGCACTTATGATATTTAAGAACAGCTAGTTATGAAATTTAAGATCTATGTGGATATGAAATTTAAGAGCAATAGTTCTACAAATAGGTCCAAAACCAGGTTATGAAATTTCAGAAGCATTTTTTAAGAGTGTTCGAAAAATTCTTAGTAATTGAAATTGGCCGTATTTTACGATAGGTCCTATGGATAGCTGCTTCGCGTCAAACCAACAAGAACATATGTTTTCTTGGGTGCGCAAAACACAAATCTGCTTCTAGGAATCTTCCTGATTCCATACTTGAAACCCAATATGCGGCCACTGTGTTAGAGCTTTTATTTTCGGTATCGCAGTTTTACATTCTTATAAGTTTCTCAAACATAAATATATTATCGAATCATCCACTTTCGGGACCTTACCGTGCCAGGAAGGCAGAAAGAGGAAAAAGCGCCTCTAGCCCCAAAGCAGATTTTGTTGGAGCGCCCTGGAGCACCCTCTGTCTTTGTGCGTTTAGCGCGCATGTTCAATCGGTCAATCCTGCGCAAAAGCTATGCATTCAGTAACTCATGATTTAGAGTGTAAGCTTCACCACGATGTGCTGCATGTACTAGTTACCAGAAACGGGCCTGCAAATTTATCTTACTAAAGTCCCCGGAGCCCGCGAGATGACTGAGTGAGTAAATGAGTGACTGACTGGCGATCAAAAGCCAAAGCCTAAACCCCCCGGCCGATTTCAGCCGTAGACATAGAGCAGCTCCGGACAAAAAAAAAACACTTGGCTGGGGACACCCTCAGATCTGGCTCTCTCCCGGTTTTTTTGGTTCCTCTAGTGAATACGAATTGCCGAACACAAATTGGGCCGATTTAACACCGATTGGGTTTTTGGTAGAGGTCAAAAACCCCCAAAATGGCTGTTTTTGAGGGTTTTGGGGGTTTTTGGGATCCTGGAACCTGCTCGCCAAAAAATCTACCAAAGTGTCGTTTCCGAAAGAAAAAAGTGCGCTCTTTTGAATGCCGGGTCATTTTACCACTGAACTGAGGTAGTTTTGGGTCCAGAAAAAATATTTTTTTCACCTATCTCTGTGATCAGCACCTCTTGAAACGTCTTTTAAACATGGTGCCTTAAAACATTTTTTCGAGGAAAATGGTGTCTTTTTCTTGAGTATAGTTCTAATGACAACTTTCCTCGAAAAAAATGTTTGAAGGCACCATGTTAAAAATACGTTTCAAGAGGTGCTGATCAAATAGAGATAGATGAAGAAAATTTTTTTGGACCCAAAACTCCCCCAAGTTCAGTGGAAAATGCCCCAAAAACTTAAAATTGTTCACAGCTCCTCTAATAATTGCCCGAGATGGCTAAAATTTTTTTGGGGGGTTTGACTATGGTAGGCCCATTTAAGCCAAAGAGGAGCGAAATCCCCGGGTCTGCTTCGAAGGGCCCCTGATACGCTCAAATTTTTAGAAAAAATAGTGAAATTGAGAAACTTTGAGACCCCGTAGCGTCCAAACTCGCGCCGAAAAGCCTTGCGCGCCCCGGCATTCAAAAGAGCGCACTTTTTTCTTTCGGAAACGCCCTTTGGTAGATTTTTTGGCGAGCGGGTTTCCCAGGATCCCAAAAAGCCCCAAACCCTAAAAAACAGCCATTTTTTAAAGGGGTTTTACCTCTACCAAAAAACCAATTGGGTTGGATCCGGCCCGTTTGTGTTTCGGCAATTCGTATTCACTAGGGCCAAAAAAAAGGGAGGGAGCCCAGATCTGAGGGGGT